GTGATAGTCTACTTTGATTTTGGTTAAGGTGGATTATCACTTACAGTGTAATCAGTGAGTGGATTCTACAGACTGTTGAGGGTTCAGCCTCGTGACGAGTCGGTGAAACTCTGACGAAACAGGTTGTCACAGCCCCTCGTTTGTTGTCCTCTTCTCCCTCTCTGCCTACGGTTTACCGGGCAGTTCTATTTGAAGATATATATATATTTTATATTTTTTGCTCGTTCTTTGTTGATGAAAAAAATATCCGCATCAAATTGGCTGTTCAACGCTAGATTCAACGTGCGCTAAATTATTCAATGTGGACCCTGCGTTGAATCCAAATCCAGACACTCAGACCTTCCTACCGTGAACAAGGTGTTCCGGCATGACAAACTTTAGGTGGAGAAGGCTGCCCCAGTGCCCAGATGCGGTTGTGGCAGGCTGTGATCTGATGATTAATAATGCTATATTTTCTTGATGCGAAAGCACCCTGTCAGTATGTACATGAGTTGTGATTGACAGTTAGACAATGCGACTGTGCTGCATTGTCAGCATTGTCTTGGGTTTGACTAAGTTTGAAGCGTGCTTTTGAAGTTCATTTTTTTTCTTTTTGGACGTGCCAGATATCTGAAGGGGTGCCATATTCTGTTGGGTTTGTCAGTTTTGTTGTTGGGTGTCTCAGGTGTATCATACATGTGTTGTATTTTGGATGAATCAGTTTTGTTGTTGGACGCGTCGGATGTATCGCAGATGTGATCATGTTTGTCATTCTTGAAACCACACAACACCCCCCAACCCGCTGTCCTTTCCCCTGGCCAGAAACCCGACATGCAAGGTTTCATGATTTGAGGGTGGATTCTGCCTCCTCTTGGGGAGCGCAGTAAGGGATGCGAACCAGGAATATATATATATGTAACCTTTTTTCAGAGGGGGTGTGGGGGTGGGGGGGGTTGGCCTGGACGACCTGGGTGGACAACCCTGCTGGGCTGGTTACACGTTCGTTTTAGGTTCTGAATGAGTGTGCATTGCATCTCAGTACAACGGTGTGATAGCAGTATCATAGTACCTTTTCTTCTTCTCTCATTCAGTACATCAACTGCGCATCTTGCATTTCAGCCGCAATGTGTTTTGTTTCGTATTGACATCGACTAACCTGCCTGACGTACTGTGGACTTCTCGATGAAACAGGTCAACTACAATCTGTTGAGTGTTAATGTCTTCATGGCCATGACAGGGATGTACCAGCTCTCCAGAAAGATTAGGTGTGTGCTTCCCTAACCATTGTCATTTATCTTGCTGCTTTTGACGGCATGCTGCAGTTGGAGAAAATGAGAAGTATGCAAAGGAAAAACAGCAGTGCCAACATGCAAGGAAAATTCTCTCCCCCTAAGTGTTGGATATGCTCTTACGTTCTTGTGAACGCCTCTACTATGTAACATTACGTTACATCAATTGGACAAATACATATATGAGACCCTAAAGGAGCAATACGACAAGCACGAAGTGGCAGACACGCCCACTTGCATGCTATGAAAGAGGAGGTGGAGTAAAGGGAGAGGGGTATATTTTCTGTTCTCTTCATCGTGCTCATCCGCATGCCTTTAGTAGCTCTGCACAGGGGGAGGGAGAAAGGGAAGGGGAGGGAGACGGGGAGAAGAAGAAAGAGAACAGGGGAAACACGAACTTTCACAGAGTTCTCAGTACTCGCAGGCAAGATCAGACTACAATTTATTCGCACAAGAGGCCAGACAGTATCTTTTTTTTTGGGTTGCCTAGAAAACAAAAAGTTGCGGAAACTGTGTCACCTATATGCTAATAAATCCGTTAAAATTGGAACGATACAGAGAAGATTAGCATGGCCCCTGCGCAAGGATGACACGCATAAATCGAGACATGGTCCAAATTAAAAAAAAAAAAAAAAAAAAAAAAAAA